TAAATTTAAAGCAACCCTTACACATTATTTTTACACTTAATTAAAAGTCCATTTAAAGCAAACTTTTCAACATGTTTTGTATAAATCCATTTAAAGCGAAATTTCAAACATATTTTAAATAAATCCACTTTAAGCGAAGTTTTAAATGTTTTAAATAAGCTCACTTTAATTTAAGTTTTAAACAAATTAAGTAAGTCCATTCCAAGCGAGATTTTAAGCGTTTCAATGTAAATAAATCCAGTTTTAAATGTTTTTAATAAGCTCACTTTAAGCAACATTTTAAACAATTTAAGTAAGTCCATTTTAAGTGACGTTTTAAACGTAAATAAGTCCACTTTAAACGGACTTTTAAACGTTTCAAAATAACACTTTAAACAAAGTTTAAGCATGTTTCAGAAAGCCGATTAAGTAAAAGCGTTGAAAATAAATTATATTTATCAACATAACCAAAAAAATATATGCTAACAATCTTTATTTATTATATAACTAATGCTACAAGAACAATCTATATATTATTTTCAATTCTATTTTTATAACTTAATTACTACGGTTTTAAATATTTGAGTTCAAACTTAAAAAAAACGGGCGATGTACAGGTATCGTTGACGTCAAAAACGCTTTAATTTTGTTTAAATTTTAAAAAATTTAACTCCAGACTCCTTAAAATCCTATGTCTTTTTTTTTTAATGAAAATAGTGGAAGTAAAATAAATCATGGTATTGCACCGTAATAGTAATAATAATAATAATAGCAATAATAATAGCAATAATAATATATTATACTAATATAAGATAAAAAAATAATAATAATAATACAAATTATAGTAATAAAAAAGTATGCTTACAATATTTGCAATGAAAAAAACAATAATAATAATAACTAAAATTATGATGGTAGTTATCACCATAAATGTTTTTTTTTTAATTTTTTTTTCCTTAGATTTAGGTTTAAAAAAGTATTTTACCAATTAAAAAAAAAATAATTAAAAAAAATAAGCGAAACTTGAAGATATTAACGATATATAACAGGTTTGTATATGTGTGATCGTATGGATTTCGATTTAGATGACAGCCCATACGTTAATATAAAGCAAATTTTCAATGCCACAAAGCGTTTTTGCAAACTTAAAAATGATTCCAATGCAGTTTTTTTTCTCATTCCTTTCAAATTTTGCTACATAATTCGATTTTTTACAAGTATAAACGTCGTTTTGTCAGATACTGGGATTGGCATGAAATAAAATCATGAAATATAACAATTAGTAAAAAGCTTATCTTAGTTATACAATATTTCACCAATAAAATATTGCTCTAAATTAAAGCGAAACACATGCTCTACAAACAGGAGTGCTTTTAAATTATTACGAGAGAGGGGTTATTTTTCAAAAGTTACATGTCTAATAAAAATGTCTTCAAAAATCCAGTTCTACAAACAAGGTTTGTAGAACTAGATTTTTTCAGCTGGGTATATTCTTACAATTAATGTTTATGAGTTAAATTTGATTTTCCTTGTGTGTATGTGGAGAAACATTCCCCCCAAACCGTTAAAAACTGTAATTAAAAATTTATGAAAACTCAAAGTTAAAAATAAAAAAATAATAGTTTTGGATAAAATAAAAAAGCTCTTATAGGTAAATAAAATTAGCTGAGTTCAATCGCACACACGTTCGAATAGGATCACAGAATCTTCTCTGCTTACTTTACAATTTTGAATAAAAATTTTACTTTTTTTAAACGAAAACTAAACGAAAGGTAAACAACGTTCGAACTCACTGTTCACGTTAATTAATTGAAAAATTTATTTGGCGCGGATTTTCTCATTGACTTTAAAATAAGATTTTAGAAACATCAGTATTTTCAGATTTTGAATTATTTTCGAAATTTACTTTTTGTTAATAAATACATAATTTAATTAAATAAATAATATAATTTAAACAAGCAAACAAAAATTTAAATTTTTGTTTCCTAATTTAAATTTTTTAAATAATTTAGTTAAGATTTCTCAACATCTATAACAGAGCGCATATTTTCTGCTGGCGGAAATATACTGTTCTACCAGCTGAGAACATGCCTTGCTCTTTTCTTATAATTTTGCTATTAAACATAATGTTTTATTATCAGAATAATCTAATAATTTCTTCTCTCATCAAATAACTTTGTTGACTGATCTTCAATTAGGGAGGACCGGGGCTAGTTGGCCGCATGGGTAAGAGCCTTTTATCATAAAGCAAAAAAATTACACAGAACTTTTCTAATTGACCATTTTATCATACACTGTAGAATTGTCAGGATTCGTGCATGCGCATGGGAGATGTTGAGATTTTGTGTTTCTCGGACAAAAACGTAACATATGGAACATCGGTTCCTTTTTACTTTACAAAAAAAAATAATCAGTCAAATGAAAAAAGATATATTGTAAAAGTTACAGTCACAATTGGTTTACTAGTTAATATTAAAAAACTTTTTCTTAATTTTGCACTTAATAGTACACCACTGGGTAAGTTGCGCCAACTTACCCAGTGGTGGTACCCAGTTGGCGCAATTTTTTCTTTTTTTTTTTGAGGGCTTGGTAAGGCCTTAAGAATTTTTTTTTTTGTAAATGAATGCAAATTTTATAAGTTAACCAAATTCTTACTCATTGAGACTACACTTTAATGTTTTCAAAAAAATGTGCCGCAAAGGCTACAGAGCTCATAGAGTAAAAACCAAGCCAAGTAAGAAAACTAAAAATAATTTGTTTAAATGGAGAAAAGTTAGAAAACTAAAAATAATTTATTTAAATAAACTGAGAAAGTAAGAAAACTAAAAATAATTTATTTAAATAAACTGAGAAAGTAAGAAAACTAAAAATCATTTATTTAAATAAACATTTTTTTTAATGCAGTAGAGTAACAGAGAGTTTTCCGTTTTTGTTTAGAAATTTTAAAAACTTGGAAAAATCTTTAATACTTTTTTTATCCTTTTATTTTCTAAACTGAGAACAAATTTATTGCTCAATAGTGTAAATGAAAATAATCTAAATATTCTTATTTTATGAATAAAATAACACTGCGTTGCAAAGTTGTTTAGTAAGTTTTAATAAATATGTTAATGCATTGTTTTAATGGGTATTTATTTTTAAAATATTGTTTACTACCGTTTTTTAAATTTTATTTTTGTAACTACAACAAAAATTTTATTTGTCAGTTTTATATCTCAGAGATAGAAATAATATTAGTTAACCATTTTATGAATAACATTGCATAAGTTTATAACAGTATTAAAAAACTTTATACCTTTTTGAGATCTATTTTAAAACAAAAGCATATTATTAGTGACATGATCTAATGATATAATTTTTTAAATATTTATATGTACAAGTTTATCATAAGTTATATTGACAGTAAATTTAAGTCGTACTGTCGGGACCAGCTAAAGTATGAGTAGTAAAAAAGCCGACTGATTATAATTTTTATTATTTTTCATTGTTAAACGGAATCATTCTCGCATAGTAGCGTTGATTACAAAGAACCAAATATAAAGTGTATTTGCAGTAGTAACAAGTTTTACGAACTTCGGGTTAACTCATTAGTTTCCATAATTTGAATGTGACCTCGAGTGTAAATATAATTGTTTTTTAAAACGAAACTTGATATACTTAGAGTAAATAACCAGTTTTTTTTTTAAAAAGCAATTTAGCGCTAGAGATTTCACAAGATTTTATTCCAACATTTTAATATTGACCCGGTGCTGGGTATCCGGAATCGGGAACTCAGCACCTGCAAACTGGTTCCGGTACATCTTTATTTTGCACTGTTTTCTTTTGTATCTGCTTCATAGACATAATGATTTTTCTTGAAACAAACAAAAAAATTCTCTTACATGATTAATAAGTTCTTATATATAAGAAATTTATTGAATCATTTAATAATTTTTTTGATGAGTTTAAGATTTCCGCAAATGTTTTTGTAAAAAAAAAAAATATATTTATACTGATACTAATTGAATATGAGATGTTTTGAATAAGATAAAGTATTTTAATTAACACTTTACATAGAAAAGAAGTAGTATTTCACAAATAAAACGCTATAATCTAAACTAGATAAAGGAAACAAATTAATAAAATTTATATTGCATAATAAAAGTAAAGTTCTAGAAATATTATTTAATGACACTCAAATATCAGATTAATAAAGTATATTAAATATGGACAAAATAATTAAGGGGCCATCCATAAAAGACGTCATCCAAATAGGGGGGGAGGGAGGTTGAGTTAAAAAGGACAAAAAAGGACAAGGGGAGGGGGAAGTTGTCAAAAAAAGACGTCACTTTATAGATTTTTTATTTTAGTTTATTTAACATGGAAAACTACGTAAACATGTGTTTTTAAGAAGATAATGTATCAGAATATTTTTAATTTTATTTTTCAAAGGTGTAGCACCAGATTCAAACTTCATTGCGAGATGAGATATATTTTTTTGGAGTTAAAAGTAGGGGTGGGGGTTCAGGATTTTATGACGTCCTATATATATATACATATATATATATATATATATATATATATATATATATATATATATATATATATATATATATTATATATATATATATATATATATATATATATATATATATATATATATATATATATATATATATATATATATATATATATATATATATATATATATATATATATGTATATATGTATTTATATATACTGATGTATGTATATATCAGTATATATATATATATATATATATATATATATATATATATATATATATATATATATATATATATATATATATATATATATATATACATCTTATGTTGTTAAAAATAAAACTTTAATGTTTAAAACTAAGATTTAAGTTAAGAATAGGAAAAACTTTTAATCGTTTTTTATTTATTTGGAAGTTTGTGCTACATAATTTATGGTTTCTAAGAGATAATATTATTTACTTTAGAGTAATTTTAACCTCTGTCATTCAAATGAAATTTGATAAACCTTTTTGACAAAAGTTTCGGGTGTGTTTATTGTTTTTTAAAAAAACAACTCTATTAAAATGAAAACTATCGATTTCTCAGTCTTTGATAAGAAAGTTGAATGCAACAAGTAAGTTTCTAAATTTGATAAGAATTATCAAAATTTATTAAAATTTTTACAAGAAATGTTTTTCATGATTTAAAGATTTCAAATAGTTAGTGAAATAATATTGTCATTGTTAAATTAAATTTGCACTGAGAATACTAAATAATACTAAGTAAAAATACTATAGAACACTAAATAAAAGATATAATATTATTAATAAAACGATTTTACTTAATTTCTATTTTTTCAACATTTGTCAACTGCTCTAATTATTAATAATCTTTTACAACTAGTTTATTTATTAATAGAGATTAAATTAAATTCAATTAAATGAAGGAAATTTAATTAGAACTCGTTAGCTTTACTTAACAAATCGGAAAAATATAAAAACAAAATGAAACTGATTAACTAAGGGATCACCCATAATATAAGCAACGCTTTATCTACCAAATTTATATTTAAAAAACAAAAGTCGAAAATAAAATATTTTTTCACGCGGTGGTTTTCATTTACCTGAATGAGCTGAATTGATTTTATACTTAAATTTATACTTTTATATCATTTAAAGAATATTAATTTCATATATTATGCTATGTTATTCAAAAAAATACTTTTATGTGTATAACTAAGATTAAATTAAATTAAATTAAATTAAGAAGAGGAAAAACTTTTAATCATTATTGTTTTGTTTATTTGAAAGTTTGTGTTACATAATTTATGTACGATCCCTAAGCTATAATATTACCTACGTTAGAATGATTTTAATCTCCGTCATACAAATGAAATTTGATAAATCTTATTGACAAAAGTGTCGGGTGTGCTAATCGTTTTCAATAAAACAATCGATTTAAAATAAAGACTGATTTTCCTCTCTTTTATATTTATATTTTTATTAATACTATTACAATTTATTATTAGATTACTTATTTTGATAATTATATTGAATATTTGTTTTTATTATTTTTATTATATAATTTATTTTATATTTTTGTTAACTTTGATTAGTTTTTTTACACTTTTAGTTTTGTTTTTTAAGTTTCAATATTTTTATTTTTGTTATAGTTTACTGTTTATTTGGCTCTTGTATTATTGTTTAACTAATATTAATGTTATTGTTATTATTGTTATCATTATTATTGTTATTATTATTATTGTTATTATTATTATTATTATTATTATTATTATTATTATTATTATTATTATTATTATTTATTATAATTGTTAGTTTTTCAATGTTTTAATTAATTGTTGTATCTTTGTTTAGTATTGTCTTATTAAAAAAAAAATGAGTTAATAACTTTAGATATAACTTTTTTTTTTGTATATAGTCTACAGTTGTAAAACATTTATTTTAAAATTAATAAAACAAATAGTACATTGTCTGACCGAGATTATAGTATAAATATAAAAATTATATATTCATTAACAGCATGACTTTGCTTCACTTTTTGTATAAAACTGCAATTTTATAGCTGGATCAAATTATTGTATTTTGATTTGAAAAAATACTTTGTGGGTAACCACCCCTGATTTTTCAAACTTTGACATATTGTTATGTGTTTTATGTAGATATATTCAATATGAAATTTCAAACTTCTAAGTATAAAGGTTCATAAATTGTAGTTTAGAAACATGACACAGTGACCCCTTTATTTAAAAATGTTCAAAACAAATTACTTCAGAGCTTTATAACTTTTTTCTATTTATCTATATTAATTTAGACATCTTCATTTGAACATTAAAAAAGGTCTCTAGTACTCACTTTATTTGAGCCCCTATCTACTATAAAGACCAGATCAAGGAGAAGGCAACGAATCATATATTTATTTTTATTAAGAAATAACTTATAATTAGTTGCAGCCTTTACATAGACCAGTGGGCAGATTAAAGAGCACTGGTTGTTAGTAACACATTCAATCGTTGATAATTGAAAAATAGTGATATTTAAAAATGCTTTTATGCTGTTAACTTTAGATCAAAACATAGGGTTAGAAAACTTTACAAGAATCTCAAAATGGCTGAAATTGGAGTTTTTATGTGAATAGACAATTTGCTTTCAGATACATTTGAGTTCTATACTGCTACAAGCTCACAATTATTTTCAGCTTTATTCCAGGTTGTAGTTGCTTATCTGAAACTTATCTGTAAAGACTTGTAGATGAATAGAAAAATGTTATAGTTATTTTAGCTTTGACATGTTTTAGCATTTTTACGATTTTTTCTAAAGTTGAGGAGATCATAATTTTTTTTCACAAGTGTATGATAAAATGTAATTCGGAGCATAAATTCAAGCAATACATAACAAAACAACATTCAATTAGTTTCTATTTAACTCAGCAAACAAATGGATAAACTGATATTAAGCAAACGTGTTCTACAAATAAGTTTATGAATTTTGTTTAAAAAACCCATTTTATTGTTACAAAAAATCTTTGCTGAAACGTGTTTTGCAATGAAATTTATCAATTTTGTTTGAAAAAACATTCTTATTGTTATAAACAATCTTTTCTGCTTTCCATTTATCAGAAATCAGCATTCAAAGTATATATTTTTAAAAGATAGTACGAGTCTATCATTCAAGTTACTAAAAAGAAGTTATAAAAGTTATTTAAAGTGAAGTTGAAGTTTTTTATCCAAAGTATTTATATTTGCAGATAAGAATAGATTTTTTTTACAAATCCTTGCCTTTTGTAGGATATTACCTTGCTAATAAAATTTAGAAAACAAAAAAAAAAGAAAACAAAATTTAGTTCAAAACTTAGTTTTTTTGGTTGATACGTATTTTGTGCTTTTTATCGAAGAATATGTTAGTCAAAAAGTTGGGAAAACATAATTGGAAAACATAATTGGAAAACATTGTTGGCAGAAAAACTTGAAAAATAAATCAAGACTTTTTTGAAGAGTGTTCAATTAAAATACTGATAAAAAAAATGTAGCAATTTAAAATATTCAGATGATCTTTAGTCTGTATTATCTGATGCTTTTTTACTACTTGCAGAGTTAGTATTCAAAAAGTAAACAAAAAGGTTTATGTAAAAATAAGCTGCCGATTGATGATAGAATTGCTTTAAGATGTTGATGTTTGTCTCATTTTTGAAAAAATTGTTATTTAAATTTGACCAATATATTTAAAGAAGTGGTTACCAATTTTTGAGACCATCTTTTACCACTTTATTTTTGTTTTCGCTCATTATCTTATTCGAAGGAGCTATAAACTTGCATAAAACTGGAGCTGTAAACTTGCATAAAATCAATTCTATATTCAAAAGAACAGATTTGTTTAGAAACAAAAATCAAGAAAAGGGTTATTTAACCCCATCGAAAAATATTACACATTTAATAAAAGTTATTTTGATAACCAAAAGATGCAATAATAAAGTGAAAATCAAATAAAGTTGTGTATTTTTTTTCTTAAAAAAAATTTTATATATATATATATATATATATATATATATATATATATATATATATATATATATATATATATATATATATATATATATATATATATATATATGTATGTATATATATATATACACTTATACTTCTTCAAGAAGTTCCAAAACCAAGTATGTAACAAATAAGGCAAAACATTTGCAAAAATTAAGGATAAATATTCTTTAGATAAGGATAAATATTCTTTAGATAAGGGTAAATATTCTTTAGAAATAATTCTACTTAATGCGCATTTGTTTGCAAAACGTGTGCACTCATTGTTGTGTTGAGCTTTAGTATTATGAAATATATTCTGCTTAAAGAGGGATTTCCCAATGAAAACCTCTTAACTGGCTGATTTATTAAAGGTAGTACACCTGTCAATTTAACAAAAAAGTTCTATGTTGTCATATTTAATCTTTAGTTATTTTATAACTAAAAATATAAGCTTATTTATAATTTTAAAATTTTTCTTTTTGATTCTTTGTTATAAACATCATCGGAAGAAAATATTTTAAATAGAAAAACACTTATACTTTTTCAAGAAGTTCCAAACCAAACATGTAGCAATTAAGGCATACCATTTGCAACAATTAAGGATAAATAATCTTTTTGCAAATATTCTACTCAATGCGCATTTGTTTGCAAAAGTGTGCACTCATTAATACGCTGGGTTCTAAAAAAAAGCTAACAATAAGATAATTAATAGCGCTCATAAACTGGCCGGACTATGTACTTTATGACTATGATAAAACATCATGAGGTTTTGCATGATACACTAGCAAATAATTTAAACTTCCAAATTTTTCAAATATACATTCTTTATAAAACATATAAATACTGTTTGTTTTAATATTTATATGTTATTACTAAACTCTTTTTTATTAAATTGATAATATAAATGACAAACAACTATAAATATATGTTACTAAGTACAATCACTCAATTTTATGTCTGTGTGGTGTAGTTGTTAGCTCGTTGGATTAAAGATTAATGAACTGTGGTTCGATTTCTGTCTAAGGAAACTTTTTTTAGTTTACAAAAAACACGTTGGATTAACATCGGAATGCCGACGTCGCGCGATGTCAGTTTATCTGACATCAAAAATCATTTCTATTTCTAACGTAAACCCAAGATTGAGATCTGACGTCGCTCGACGTTTATTCAATGTCGAAATGCCCACTGGGTTAAGATAATAAAAAATATAAAAAAGTTTTTCAACGAAAAGTGCATTTTTGTATTCCTTAGCATTAAAAAATCCAGACCTGTTTAGTACCACTAGAGCGGTATGAGCAAAAAAAAAATGGTGTTAAAAAATACTTTCATTTTCTTTTCTTTTATACTTTCTATTAAATATAGGGAAAAAAAAATTCCGGTTTCAAATAAAAAAGAAAAAAAAAATTCTGTTTATTTCAGCGTGTTTATTTTTTCTTCAGGACAATAAAATAAAATAAATAGTAGTTACCATATTTACTATAACTACTGTGCTGTTTAACGTTTAAAACTATCGTTCGATTACTCACTGTACATTAGACTTAAAAAAAGGATTTTAAACTTATTGCAAAACTTATTTAAAAGACTTTTTGAATACACTGTAGAAAGATAGAATGATTTAAAAATATTCATGATAAGAGTAGATTAACTTAAGCTTGTTGGCAATAAAAAGTAATACAAGATAAAAATAAAATTTTAGCTAGTTATTCAAAGAAAAATTTCTGGCAAAACTTGTTTTAGTTTAGTATTAATTAGTGTATAGTTTGAAATATTTTTATAAAGAATTAATTTTTTATTTTAAGCTTGCTATTTTATATTAGGTAAGGAATTTTTTTAAAAAAAGGCATTGAAAAGCACTGTAAAACTTGCGAATGAGGAATCCAAATTAGCTAAACGTGCATATACTAATCAACAAATAATCATATTATAAAAATATAATAAATTAAATTTTATGTATGCATTACATAAACATATTTATATAGAGACAATATATACTTGTAAAACTAAAATTACATAAATATATTTAACAAACAGATAATAATTTGTATCTTCGTATTCCTCTTTAAAAAATAAAAATTAATTATAGAAAAGTCTGACTAAAAACTATTTATTTGTTTTGCTTTTCCTTAATCAATTTTATAGCTAAAAATTAAAACCACCCTGAAAAAAAATAGCAAAAATTATTAATATTTTTATTATTATTTTATTTTTTCTATTTATGTTTATCTCGGTTTCCTATTTTGTTAGTTTTGCTTTCCTTTTTCAAATTTCTTAATGGTGTAAAGCAGAGAAAGGTTAAATACAATGCATCATCTTTCTCTGCTTCACACCATATAGAAATTTGTATTGCATTAATATTAAACTTTCCAATCGTTTTATTATAAATAGTTTTTCTAGGCATTATGTTAAAAAAAGTAACCATATGTACTTCAATACAAGAACATAAAAGTATATACAAACTATTATAGGTTCATCTTAAATTTAGAATTTACTATTTTAAATTTAATAGAATGTTAACTTACCTTCTGCATTTCTTTGGTACAACAATTAATTTGCTCTTTTTGTGTCAGGTTAATTTTTTAACCGATTTATTGAAAATAAATAATACAAACCAGGATCTACCTCCGTGCATTTCTAAAGAACAGAGGTAGATAAAAGTTAGTTAAGCAGTTGCTTACACATTTTTTCATTCTTTATTTTTGATTCACTCCCGACATGGCTGCAAGCAACCACAATTAAGTTAAAAGTAACTATAAAAAAAAAAAGTTAAACGGTTGACAAAAAACTTAAAGAAGTAAAGTTTGTATGAGTCAGAAAAATATAAAGATAGATGAGTTCCAAACAGTTGAAGTACTGGAAAAAAAGCAAAACGAATAAAAGAGCATGCAGGGCCTTGCAGTAAAATAATGAGACTTTGATAAATGACGAGTCAAGCGAAAAAGAGTTTTAGTTAATGGAACTAGAGATAAAAGCTCCTTTGATCAACGACCATGATTTTGTAAAAAAGGGAATAAAAAATGCAACTTAATGATAAAAAGAAAGAGGCTCAAACTTAGCAGATATAATCTGGGTTCAATTACCTTTACAATGCGATTCTGAACGTTGTTTAGAAGAAAAAAGAGCATCATTAGGAGAACCAGCCCAATTATGACAATAGTGTTCAATACAGGGAAAAAAAGAAATTTGTATAGGTAGAGAATGGAATCAGGAAATAGAAAGTGGCGAGCACAATAAAGAGAAGCAATTTTAGCAGATGGTAATTTAGCAATCTATTATATATTTATGGTTTCTATGAAAAGTCAGTAGTAAATAATAATCCAAGACGACACAAAGAAGAGGACTTAGTTAGGGGTTGCCATTCATCAATATAGGAATGTCGACACTACTGCAATAGATGTTTGCAGGAAATAACTGAGTATTTTTAGAGTTAAAATTTACAAGCCACAGTGATCCCCAATTAGTTACAGAAGTGAGGCCAAGTTCAAGATCAACTGCGTGTTACAAGCGATGAAATAAAGAAGAATTTTTGATTAATACAGAAGTATAATGTCTAGTCATCAGCAAAAAGTTCAACTTTAGATATAAGGTTGTCAGGAAGTTCATTAATATAGATAAGAAACAAAATTGGACCAAGGATAGAACTTTGAGGTACCCTAGAAGTTACTTGAAATTTAAAAAGAATATTAATCTTCAAGGATGATTTTAATGAAGCAGTTAGAAAAAACTTTTGATAGTCTGAAAAGCATTCCCAGATACACCAAATAAAACAAGATTACGGAGAAGACCAACATGTCAAACTGTGTCAAAAACATTGTATATGTCAAGAGCAATAGCCTAGCCTCTCAGCCTTCCTCTAATATATGATAAATTCTTTCAGTCACAGCAGTTAGAAAGTCAGCCATAGAGCAAAAGTATCGAAAACCGTATTGAATGTATGACATCAAGTCTTGACTCAAGATCGGATGTGGGAAATTTGTTTATCAAAGACTCAAAGACCTTATTATTAACAGAAAGAAGACTGATTGGACAATAACTAGAGGAATAAAAATGTTGACCAGAGTTTTTGAAATTTGGAACAACAAATTCCATTTTCAAGCGAGCAGAAAAACAAGACTTAGTCAGGTACTTATAGTTTAGAGAAAATTAGAGAGAGTTCTGGAAAACAAATTTGTTAGAATGTGACAGGAATATTGTCTTAATCACAAGCCTTATAAGAGATTAATCAAAGTATGACTTTTGAAATAGAAGCTTAAGTGATTTGAATGTCGAACTATGGGTTAACCTGTTTAAATGGAATGAATAGAAACAAAATGGCTATAAAATTTGAGAGACGAATTAGAAAATAAGTTCTTTACAAATTGTTCAGCTTTATCTTTGTGAGAAGTAAGAAAATCAGTCCCATGAATGATAGATGAAATGTTAGACCTTCTTTTGTTAACAACGCTGTTAAAAAATTTTCAAAAGTCTCTAGAGCCTAATTTCTCAGATAAGATACGAAATTTAGTGAGAATAATAAAGCTTAACATCTGACAGCATCTTTTTACATTGATTTCTTGCATTATTAAATAGATGTTTGTTGCTTTTGAAAAAAATGAAAATAACGATTACGATTAGATATAGCAGCTGCACAAGAGGGTGAAAACCATGGTGTAGAATGATGTTTGACTTGAGACCGACAAGAAGGAATAAAAGCATCCATTCCTGCATAAGTCTAGGAGGTTGCTTCAGAGGCGCATTTTTCATCCTAGAGGGAAAAGACATTAGCCCAAGGACGTCATGAAGAAAATCACAAAAAGAGTCCCACTCAGCTTTAGGGTGATCGTAACAAGTGCAATGATAGGGTGAGTTGGAAAATAAAGTACGAGATGAAAGATTTAAACAGATCATTACATGATCAGAACCACGTAAGGGAAAAAAAAAAGAAACTAAACACAAGTTAGGATTAGAGACGAAACATAAATCAATGGGTGAAGGTAAATAACTAAAGTTGTTGAAAAATGTGTCACAAAGTTAACTACGTGAGTAAGAGAATAACAAAAGCAGAAGTTACACATTTTAGTTCAAGCAGGGTCAGTGGCATTAGAAACAAGCTATTCAGTGTGATGAGCACTAAATTCACCAATAAAGTCAATATTGGCAGAAAGATAAAGAAAGAGTATGGTCAATTTGATTTAAAAAAGATTAGAAGAGGGCAGTTTTGGGAAGAAAGAGAACAATAAAGAACATAAAGATAGATGATAAAGTGAAGAGGTGCTAAATGAAAGCACGTAACAGAATGGTCAAAGGATTTGAATCTTCATAAAAAATAGGTAAGTTGATGCATATTTATACCCCTAAGCTAAGCATGTGACAATTGGAGTCTATGTAAATCAAAGCATAGTACCCATTAACATTAAGATAAGAAGAAGGAATAGCAGAATTAAAATTAGTCTCATTAAGAGCAAGCCAGTCAAGTGAATTTTGCAAAAGAATAGATTCAACTAGTTAAATATTACTTTGCAGACCACAAATATTAGTAAAAATGTATTAAAAATATATAAAAAACCATTCCTAACAGTTTGATGTTTTCAAGTTTTTTATGTTTGATATTTTGATTTTTTTTTTCGGCATATTTAAGTTTAAAAAGAACTTCATGCATTAATAGAGAGAACACGGCTTTTGAAGCAATTTTTTCAGTCCTTTGAATTAACTTTAAACCATAAAATAGGTATGATATGTGGCCTCAACAATGCGCACCAAAAACATTAACAGGGACAAAAGCAAACCTGTAATAAGTCCTTAATAATAGCATTGCTAATAAATGTGCTTAGCCCAAGAATTTATTAAAGTGTGATATCAGGATATTCAAGACGTATTACAACAATTTAAGACTTACAGGAAAGATTTTTAAAAATTAAGAACTTAAGGAAACTTGGGACATGTGGTAAACCTGTACTCTCTTTAACTCATAATACTTTATATATATATATATATATATATATATATATATATATATATATATATATATATATATTTTTATTAATTGTATTACTTGTTTTGCTTTAATATATTTTTTAAAAGTTAGTATTATTTTCTAGCATAAATGGCTGAAATCATTCGAAATCCAATATTTCAGTATAATTTGTCTGAACTACTTAAAAATGATTGGTATTACATTGGTATTATCTTAGATATCGAAGAACGTGATTTAGAATCAATTAGAGATGATGTAAAATTTAAAAACAGCCAGGAAAAAGCTTACGGAATGTTGAAATGCTTTATTAATAAAGAAAAACCAACATTGGACAAATTAAAAGATGCCATTAAAAAAATTGGGAAAAATGCTTTATTGAATGATGTGAATAATCTTGAAGGTAAATATTTTGTTCAATATTTCAGTAAGATAAATTTTTTAGATTTTTCCATTTATAATTTATATATATTTTTTTATAATTTTTTTATTGTTAAATTAACTTTTTCTTCCAAGATTCAGTTTACGTTCATTTAGCTGTTTTGTTTTTATTGATTTAATAGAAAAGTAAAATAGAAAAACATTAGTTTTTTCATTTTTATTGTAATTATTTTATTTAAAATTTGAATAAAAAATTAGTTTTTCTTTTTTGTTTTAACTATTTTAAAGTTAGAAAAAAAAATAATGATCTTTTTTTGTTTTTATTTTAATTAAACTGTTTACAAGTTGAAAAAAAGATTTTCTATTATTAATATTTTTTAATGTAAAATCACCTCCCTGAGGCCGAGAAGGCCACTACAGACAAATAGGCTTCTGAATTGTGACTATAAATCTCTCTCAATTTTATAACTCCACAACACTAACCTTGATGAGCAAGGCCGAAGCAGGAGGAAACAAGTTAAGCACGGTACTACCAGGCACATAGTGATTTTAGTACTTAAAACCTCTTGCTTATGAAGCGAGCACTCTACCACTGCATAAATTACTGCATCACGGTAGTTTATATACGCTTAATTTATATATATATATATATATATATATATATATATATATATATATATATATATATATATATATATATATATATATATATATATATATATTTATATTTATATATAAATCGTGATACCTGTGTAAACTATGTTTCCGAAAACATAAATTTATACATAAATAAAGCATAACATTTTTAAAACGTTGAGTTCAAATATATTTAAATTTTTTATTTCAATAAATCAAAGTTTTCAAAGAGAAAAACGATCAGCAAGTTAATTATGAAAATTGCTCATTTCTTACAGCGATAAAAACAATATAGTTTACTTTTTTCAGTACTTCCTCAGGCAATATTTGCGTAGTTTATATAGCAGTGAGTAAATGAGAAATAAAGTTGTCTTAAGTTTTTCTTGTTGAGATAATTTTGAGCTTTGCATAAAACTCCAATGTTTTTGGAGACTTTAGTGCTTACAGAGTTATAATGTGAATTCCAATCAATGTTCTTAATTGAGATAAACACCTAAAAACTTAATAACGAAGTCTCTTATTATTTCAATTTCTCAATAAAGATTGTAGGCAAGTTTAAGAGTAAAATCTTTTTTTTCATTTTAAAATGACGAGATCCCATTTAGTTATGTCGGAATTTAATGTTTATTTATTGGATATAAATCACTGGGATAAAAGTTTAAGTTCTTTATTCATTGTGGCAAAAAGTTCGCTTATATCACTCTTAGAGATGAATAAATTAGTATCATCAGCAAACATGATGCTCATCAGATGAGTTGCTTTATTAGATAGTTTATAAAAATTAAAAAAAGGAAGGGTGCGAGGATTAAACCTTTTGGAACTCCACAGGATATATTTACACAATTTTCGTGATAGTTGTCATTACCAACAACAAACTGTTTTTTGTTTGTTAAGTAACTTCTGAACCACCTTAATGCTTGGTTATTTACTTCATAGTATTTCAGTTTTTCGAATAGGATGTGATGGTCAACCATATTGAAGGCCTCCGATGATCGATAAAGATACTTAATGTATATTTTGATTGTTTGAAAGATTTTGAAATTTCATTTACAAGTTGGATAATTGCATGCTTTGTTGAGCTTTTCTTCTTAAAACCTAATTGATTAACATAGATTAAGTTATTTTTATCAAGGTGTTTATATATTCTGTTGCACATCCTTTCTAGGATTTTTGAAAATACAAAGAGCACAGAGACGGGGCAAAAATTAATAATTTTGGGATTAGTCACCTTCTCAACAAATAGGTGAAACTTTGGTAATTTTTAATTGTTATGGAAAAATTCATTGTTTTATAGAGGCATTGAAAACTTTGAAAAGAACATCTTTTATTTGCTTAAAGCAATCAAAAATCACGTTTCAATATTTCGTCTGGTCCACATAATTTTAACAGATTTGAGCGCTTTTTCAAGTTCTTTAATTGATAAATTAGAGAATAGTTCATCAGAGCATATGCACTAATCAAAGGGTAATAAGAACTCTCTAAACAAAGTTCTGGTGATAGCAATCTTATTTGATAGTTTAGGACCTATTTCAGAAAACAATTTATTAAATTCAACTAATATAGCATTTGGTTCAAATATATATGTGTTTTTAATTTTAATTGTTTGTGGCAGAAAACTAAAGCATGGTTTTTGTTTTCCTATAATATCCTTCATTATTTTCACAATGCGCTTAGTGTTATAATTAAATTTGTTAAGTAATTCCGAGTGACAATTTTTTTAAATGTTTTTACGATTTTTCTAAATATTTATAGTTTTTTATATAAATTCTAATATTTATAGAAAACTAATACATAACTTCTGTTTGATTTTGGAAGATTTTTTAAACCACTTGGTAATACAAGAAGAATTCAAACTCTTATATTTTGCTATTATTTTAAGCCAATGCTATTTGCACGGCCGCCGTGTTCCAATTCTTAAAAGGCTATTTGCATTGGCGCAGTGTTCTCATTCTAAAAAGGCTATTCGAACGCCTGAAAAAAAAATCTTGCTATCAATTTTTGAGTCACCTCCTGATAATAAATTCTTCAAATTTTGCATACATCCTCTTGCTTGATGAGAATACGATATTCAATAATTAGTTATGCAATAGGTTAACTAATTTAGTTAACTTTAATTAAATTTATTTTTTATATGAAAAGAAGAATTTAAAATTTATAAATAAGTATACTAATTGTTAAAATACTTAAACGCGCACTTAGCTGATTTGGTAAAGTCGCCGACTTTGTAAAGTGAAAGTCGCAATTTTGGTCTGTTGTCAACTAGACCAATGCATAAATAATATAAAATAAACGCAAGTTTAAATTTAAATAATATTGAAAATAATTACCATTTTTTTGCGATAACTAGGATCCTTCAACTTTATTTCAAGCTGTCGCAATTCATGTTCATTTTTTATCTTCTAAGGAAACACATCGTCCAAAACATCATCCACGCTAACAACCACAAGACTTCTCAGCATCGCCTTAATCTCCTCTTGATTTTCAATAATTATGTCTAGTTTCATAGCTAAATAGGATAAATCTGAAGTAAAATTAAAGTTATATAACAAAAAATAATCTGCAAACAGTAATCAAAGTATGCTTTTTTTTAAAACGAAGTCTACATTTACATCAATACACTACTAATTAATTTTGTTAAAAAATGTTAAACATTAACCCTGGTAAAAGAAAATTTTTATTAAAAAAATTTCAAAGCTTTAAAAAAATTGTACTAAATTAAAAAACTCCATGATTTTTCCTGATTTTTTTACTAAATCAATCATTTCCCCCTGATTTTCTATCTAAATTTCCCTGACATCCCTGGTTTAGTGGCAACCCTGTTATATAAATTGAAATCAACCAACCGTATGTTCCTGCAATATTTTCACCTGCTCTAGCACCAGCAAAAATGTTATTGTCTGTCAAACTATTGACCATTGTTCCACCAATAAATGGTCTTCCGATACTGGCTATAAAAACAATATATATATATTTTTTTAAATTGATAAAAAATTATTTTGCATAATTGAAATTTTTCTTATTATACGTTTGCACTCGTTTACAGAAAGATAAACGTTAATTTAAAAATCATTTTGGATATTGTTTTTTTTTGCTGTGGTTTCTCATTATGTAAAAAAGTGTATAGAATTCAATTGAATTACAATATTTTGGTTTCAAGCAGATTTGGGCTTCATAGATTTTAGGCCTAATAAATACCATCAAAATTTGTTAAATTTGTAAAATCCATATATACTTTTGTTTAAAATTTGTTAGAAAAATAAGTTAAAGTATTTTAACTTATACCAACCATTCTCACAAGACATTCTGTCAGTTGATGCAATACGTGCAAGATTCACTTGACTTACAGATGCCGAAGGTGAATGAATAATATTTGCAGCAGCTGACACAGCTGCACTTTGCACATGCTGAAACACTTGAGATGAAACAGCTGCTCGTTCCTGTAAGGATGCATTTGTAGACTGTAGGGATGCATTTTTTCCTTTGAAAAATAATAATTTCTTTAATATTATTATCATCCAACTTACACGTTAAATCAGGATTAATAACAGAAAATACAAATAGCATAGTACTAGATGGTGGCTTTTATATTAAACATATGAATTAAGAATTAAAGTATTGAATTATCATTAATAATATCAAGACAAACATGCCATTGTTTTGTTTTGCACTATATTTTGGTGCAGATGGAAAGGTAATTTTTTTGCTCAGAGGACTGTGATCACCAGAAGAGGTTTCTGTAAAAGTAACTATAAAAAGTAACAAAATTTGAGTTACAACAAAATAGAATTTTAAATGTTAATGTAATTAAAATCGTGCTACAATACATATCTTAATCAACTACACTCCAGGTACACACGCTAGTGCTATATGACATAATAATGTCAACACCTGTTAAATGTGAAATACTTTATTATTAAAACAGAAATTAACTCTTGCTTTTGTTCTGTTTTGAATTATATCTTTGTGCAGATAAAAGTTTGATTTTTTTCCTAGGAGGATTGTGATCTTGGAGGATTGTGATCTGATTGTGACCTTGGAGGATTGTGATCATTCTTCCATTCTTCCTTGCTTCTCAAAAATACTAGAACGCATTATGTATAACAAATTATATTCATATTTAGAAAAAAATAATATTCTATATAACAAACAATTTGGCTTCAAAACAGGACACTCTACTGATCATGCAATTCTTCATCTTGTTCAGATTATTTTTCAAGCTTTTGATAAAAACAAGTTCACTTTAGGTGTTTTCATAGATCTAAGTTAGGCGTTCGACACAGTTGATCATAGTATTTTAATTAAAAAATTAGAGAACTACGGTATCAAAAGTATTAACATAGCTTGGTTTAAAAGCTACTTATCTAATAAAAAACAGTATATTTCATTCGGCAATAAAAAAACTAACAATATGACAATTACTTGCGGCGTTCCTCAAGGATCTATATTAGGACCACTCTTATTTTTAATTTATATTAATGATTTAAGCAAAGCCTCTAGTATTCTAGATTCTATCTTATTTGCTGATGACACAAATTTATTTTATTCTCATAGTGATATAACATTGCCTGGTTAACTATTTAAAAAAAAAAAAGAATTATGAATGAAAAATATTTTTTCATTATGCAAATAAAGTTTTTTTTTTAAATAAAATGTTAAATGCTCAGACTTTACTAATTAACTGAGTGCATAGGCAAGGTGAATAAAAAAAACAGTTATTTTTGCTAAGTAGTTGGTCAGGTTTACGTATATAATATATGTAGCAATTTTGCTCAAAGTTTTATTCGCGTAAGGCTGAATAACCTTATTGCACAGCATTTTTTGAGTAAATTGCAAAGTTTTATGTAAATAAAATTTTGAGAGAGTTTGTAAATTCTTATTCAAATAAAACTGAACAATTACTTTAAAAACACTTAGTAAAAGCAATTTCTTTTTTTTAATCATCCGTTCTTATATATAATAACATAGTGTCTCTATCATGAAGTATGAACAAAAAATTTCTCCCGATGTTTTGATGTAGGTTTTTTAAGCCATTTTAAAAATTCTCTCCCTTTTAATTGTTATAGAATAAATACATTTTTATATGTATAATGTATATATAACTTCAAAATTGTTTTATTTTAGCTTAATAAAAATAAAAAGTAAAAATAAAATATCCATGCATAAGGATTTGGATGAGGGCAAATGCATTTCAGAAACGCTTTGAGCTAAACACCTCGTCATTGAGGCGTATTGTTCGGTGAATGTTTTAACATTATTTAAAAAAAAAAAAAAGGTCTAATGAAACAGCAAAAAATTGCTGTAAATCATAATTAAGGAGATATCACCGTAATATAATTTTTAAATACAAGTCATGATGATGATTATGATAATGAGGATGATACAATGTTTTATTTTTTATAAATTTTCTATTTTTAGATAATAACTTTTGTAAAAGTGTAATATTAAAAAAACTACTTCTATTTATTTTAATAGATTCGTTTATGGAAGAGTCTTCTAATTCACAAGATAACACCAACAAAAGGAATTCTTCATTAAAAAGTGGTAAATAAAACATAATATTTTGATGATAATGATATCATCATATTCATTCTAATGATCAAAATAATGATTATTATGATAATAATAATGATGATCATGATGAAAAAATAAATATGCAATAATAGGCTATATAATAACAAATTACAATATATTTACAAATAAACGTATATTTAACCCTTAAAGAAGGGGAAAAAAAAGTTACATTAAGCACGGCTGGGGTATTGAATTACCCAACTAAAAATATATGTTTTTATAAAAAACATGTTGACCTTTCTATTTAAAATGCGTATCTTTAACAAAAATATCAATTTTCTCAATGTATTTTTAAATAAAAGTGATACTTGATAAAATATATTCAAATAAAAACAAAATATAACTCCTAAACAAGGCAACTATTGCAAACTATTTTGAAATGAGCCTTGCAAACAGAATGGCTACATGATGCACATTGCAGACGGATTTTTCTGTCTTGAACACGAGAAAACATATAACATCTTTTCATGTGCTGCTCTAGATTTAGTTGACCTTGATTTAATAGGTTATTTTGTACAATTATTTGGCGAAGATTATTATTTGCAACTATTTGAGGAAGATTGTCATTTGCATCAAATTTTTTAATAAGACTTTTTGTTAATTCTTTAAAAACTTCTCTTTTTCTATGAGAAGTTCCATTTATATAGTTTGGGTGAATTGACAAGGATAAAATCAAAGCATTGTATGTTGCAATATTTAAAATGTTACAAAACATCGTAAACGGCCATCGGTTACTCTTTCAACGACCCGAATAGCACCTGACAACCTGACCATACGTGTCAACTCCACCTTTACAATTAATTTTATAATCTAGAATAACACATGGTTTTTCATTATGGTCCATAACAATGTTATTATTGTGATGAAAGGTTGATAATAATATTACTTGTTTTTCTTAGGTACATGAGAAACTATAGTAGAGTAATTTTGAAAACGAAAAATGCTAAAATAAACTGGTCGATGTAGGGCTGGCAATAACTTTTTTGGTATTCTCCTTTATTTTTTTTTAATTGTGCCAGTGTTTGTCATTTTACGTCCTAGCAATGCACGTGCAAGATGAATGATTTCTTGCTTTTTTCTTATCAAATCGAATGCATCGTCGCAAGTTAACAAATCGATCTCTTTGCATTGAAGCAGAAATTATTGGTATACCATCTAACTTACTTTAAATCTCTTTTATGCATTGATTTTTAGAATGAAATCTTCCAGCTAATAATAGAACTCCAATAAACTCGTAAAGCTCATTTACTGTTGTATCAACCCATCCTTCTAGTCTTTTTCTACGAGCTTTAGCATTAGTGCAGTTGACAATTATTCTAATCATTTCTGGTGTTATAAAGAGTTTAAAGGCAGTACCCACACTTTAGTTGCAAACCTGAGCTAAAAACTTTGTTGAGCCAGTTGGTTGTCGAATAATATTGTGTGCTCGTGGCTGAGCAGCATTTAAACGTGGAAGTTTAAATGCTGCTCAGCCACGAGCAGCATTTAAACTTCCACCTTAACAACTTCTTCATCACTTTCATTAGAGATAAAAGCATCTGATTCATCGTCAGCAGTAATAATATCTTCTTCATCGTCTGTAAGGTTTTTTCAGCTGAGTCATCACTTGAAGATAAATCATTTAAACCAAAAATAATAATAATAGCCTCGACTGCAGCATTTCCTCTTGGACGACTCATTACATGAACTATATTTATTCTAAAAATAGTTTCAGTCTTTATCAAAACAATTATGGAAAAAATATATAACAAATATTGTAGACATTTTAATACATATTGGTACAAAATTATATTATTTCGTACCAATAATATAAATATTTTTGACAAAAACAAAATATATGCAACATGAGCACATTATTGTTGATACAGTGAGTGTAT